AGAAGAGTAAAGTGCTCTATCCATTTATTCATCCCTTTTTGACGTGAAATGAAGATCGAGTGTTGGTCTCGACGTCAACCGAATTAAAGAAATTTAGCCTATGACCTTCGACTTTTTTGCGTATGTATGTCGATGTGGGTGGTTCGTTTGATCGTTCAAATTACGTTTGATCGTCATTAGAATCAGTCTTATATCATGATAGCAAGGACCCATAACTTCTAAACATAACAATGTAACACACTAACAAGAAATATAATAAAACACATTTCATAATTGTTCACATAAAACACACTTCATGAAATCGAAAACCACATAACAACAAAAAACACAAGCTAAACTCATGGAGTTCCTACACCTCTTCACTCTCTGAAACAACAAATTAGGTAGACCTAATCCCATATTAGGTCGACCGAAAAGTGCATGTTATGGTGACATGCATGTCACCGTAGCAAATTCTTTTACATTTTATGTTATAGAAAAGCACTTTTCAGCTTTTCAAAATCCGAGCTTTTTGAGGTGTTTGTTCTTGCTTAAGCTTTTGATGACACGTCCCGTCTCTTTTAAAAAACCAAACCATAACTCAAACCAAAAACCGGTTACTCCGGAGCAACCAACCACATTTTAAAATAAACAAACTGACATCTTTTAAGAATTTTTAACGAAAAGCCCCAACACTTGGAGAAAGTTCTCAATCTCAAATACTTAAAACGACTTAACACAGAATCTCCAGTTTATACTAATAACCATGAAACAGAATAATTAACTAATCTAACTTGACTCTTCACGAGCTTTCAGACATCCCGTCGATGGTGGTACTGCAGCTCGCCTCGCCCTGTTTCTTTTCGTGATCCACTTCTGCTAGACTATCCTCAACCTGGTGAGTGCGAAGGGGTCAGTCTCGCTGTTACTTCCTAAGGTCTTTGCCCTAGGCAAACTCCTTACTAAACACATTATTAGGGGAAAGCCTTCCTTAGACGAAATTCGTTCTCACTTTCATCCTTTAAACGTTACTATCAAATAGTCTATAAGAGATCTCTACTCCGATCTTATATGTAGAATTTTTCTTACTTATTTTCTTAATCCAAAGACACCAACACAAGGGACCATCGCGTTACGTTTCGCTGTCCGGTGTCCCTTCCCTAGTATGCCAACCGCGTTACGTCTCGCCGTCCAGTTGCATACCCAAACTCGGCAATGACACTGTGTTACGTCTCGTCGTCCAGTCCATGCCCGTCAACTACAGCGTTACGTCTCGCCGTCCAGTAGTGACCCAACATACTCAATCAACTACTGCGTTACGTCTCGCCGTCCAGCAGTGAACCGACCATCTACCGCGTCCAGTAGTGGCCCAACCGCCCGGGGGTTCCACTTACCGTCATTCCATACAACATCACATACATAGCACAACGGGTGCTTCCACCCTTACAGGCGGTGGGATGCCTCACACACATATCGCGCATACTAGAAAAATTAACTAAATAATAACTTGAACGAAAAGCAGAAACTAAAAGACCTACGACAGAGATTTTACCCTCTTTACACTCACCTCTTTAGTCGCATCAACGTCTGCATTCTCCCGCTCAAGCCCCGCGCGTTTTTCCTCTTTTGGCTCCTCCTTTATCGGTTCATCATCTTCCTCTTCAACGATCCTAACCATTGGAGCTCCGCCGCCATTCTCTTCAAGGTCCCTCCTCGGGCCACAATTCGGCGGCCAACTTTGAACTCACGACACCCCGGGTCGTCTGGGAGGATAGGGTCGGGGCCTCTCCATCGCTTTACCCCCGCCAGTTGCGATCACCGATGTCAAGTTCTCGGCCTTCCTTCCGCCTCTAATAGACGCGGCTCTTCCCCTCCTACGAATCGGTGTGAACCTCTTCATCACGCGAGACTACGAAGTTCGATCGGCTGCTAACTTTCTCGCCTTCTTTCCCTCATTAGCCAGATTATCCCAGGAAACCTATTAATAAGAAAATTCATATTCTAAGACACCCTTCCTCGATTTAAAAGTTTCCTTTTTATCTACCCAGACACCCTCTACTCAAAGTTCCATCCTCAATCCTCACTCCAAAGGTCCTTTAACCCCCACTAAAATTTTCTAGAATTAATCCCTTCAAAATCGACAATTTTTCTTAATTATTTTTATCTTGGACGAATTTTTCACCTAACTTGAACCTTGTTATAATTTTGGATAATAATTTTTCCATATCAATCAAGAGCACCTGTACCCTGAAAAATTATCAAATCCTTAAAAATCCCTCGAAAAGATTTTTATTTAATTAAAATAAATATTCGAACAATTCTAAAATTAACAATACATCTTCAAAAATCCCCATATTAAATTACAGCCATCTCCTAGATATCCATCAATTTATAAAATTATAAAAATTAGGAACAAACCCCCATTAAAACATCCAAAAAACACGTTTCTGGAAATTTCCAGCAGCTTTAGTGACCACCCAAAATCTGTCACTAAAAGCCTGTAACGCATGTTGCTAAAAACCCAAAATTGCACCCTCACGAAAAATCACCAAATCGATCGATCTAACTCAAAGTGATCGAGTTCTCTTACCTCTAGAACGTGCCTAGGCCTAGGTTGGATGACCTGGGATGTTGATCTCCTTGTTGATCGAACCCTCAACGTCACCGCTAATAAAATACGAGTTTCGGATTATACTATCGATAAATCGAGTTTAGAAATCGCGAAGAGGTTCGTGATCCTTACCTAGAACGAAAGGAATAGGATCAGGGTCGGGAAGTCGAGTTCGGGGTCAGGCACAGGGGTTGGCGCTCCTTTTCTTCTTCTTCCTCCGCCCGACACTTGACCGCTGCTGCCTATTTTCCTCTGGCGGCTGGGAACAAGATTTGTGGAGAAATATTGATGGGGGAAGACGTGGGGAAGGGTTTCCCTTTGGGGCCGCCCGGCCCCTTGGCCCCTCTTTAATATTTTTTTAATATAATAATAATATGAAAGTTATTATTATTATTAATCTGCGATTGCAATCTTTCGTACGTAACCGTCAACCCAATCGTTCACGTATTATGGTCAAACCCAAATCTAAAATGTCGGGGTGTTACATTTGAAGCAGAAAAGCACTTCTAAAAGTCGGGCCAAACATAGGCTGAATCAGAAATGGTCTGAAAACATATAGGAATTAAGATATAAAATCTCTTTGATTATGAGAGATTTGATATCCATACATTTTAGAGATTTGAAACCTCTAGCACTAAAACCCACAATACAATAAGAAAAAAAAAACACTTTCTACAAAATCTGAGAATTCAGGTAGGGGTGTACATGGGTCGGGTGGTCCGGGTTTAGGCATTTTAATCACCCGACCCATGCACCACGGTTTGGGAAATATTAAACCCAAACCCACCCAAAAATATCTAAACCCTACGGTTTGTTTCTAATTGGGTTGGGTCGGGTTGGCGATATTTTTAAGTAAAAACGCAACCCAACACAAAATATGTAATTATTCCACATCATAAAAATATTTTATAACAAAATAAAAATTCAAAATAAAAAACCGAGGTGAAAGGTATCAAAAACGACAAATATTGTTTGAATTTTACTTCAACTTATGTCTAGTTTTTTTCACGACATTTGTTGAAATAGGCTAAAAGGTTACAAATGAACGCATCCATAATATGATATTCTTTTAAAATTGTACACAAGAAGAAAAAATACGTGAATCATAGCTATATTAAATATATGTCTAAACTTTAAGTCGAAGAATGCATTAGATTAGTGAGACTTTAAAAGAAAAACATGGCGAAATATCTTAATTTTCTCATAAGTATGACTATATACGACATAAATTTTTTTTTGGATACGAACTCATACCAATAATTGGAACACGGGTTGGGTCGGGTTCTACGGGTTGTGTAATACAAAATCCAAACCCAACCCAAAAGAGGCGGGTTGTACAAAAGAAAACCCTCACCCAACCCAAAACCTTCGATTTAGCGATAAATACGGTTGGGTTGGGTCGGGTTGGATGGGTGGGTCGGTTTGCGGGTGTGTTTGTTCACCCCTAAATTCAGGAAATCCACGATCAAAATATGCTTTCTAGCTTGATCCGAGTCGAGTCTAGTATAAATGAGCCGAGTTGAGCTGAGATTTACCCAAGCTTGAGCTCGGCTTGTTAATAAATGAGCTGACGTTTATTAACGAGCCAAGTCGAGTTTGAGCTTGAGCTAGGCTTGTTAACTAAAATCTTAGCTCGTATTTGATACATTCATTTTGTATATCATGTATGATACATGCGATTGATGTTATGATGGAAAAAAAATAATAATAATAATCAAATGTTTAACATTAACTGATCTCATATTATACTTTTATAATATCATATTATTTATTTAATAATTTTTAACTAGTTTAAATATGTTATTCATAGTATCAAATCGATATATGATACTTAAAAGTAAGACATATTTCTTACATGTAAAACTTCATATAGTTGTGATATTAAATTTAAGGGTAAATACAATTTAATATCCAGACCTTTCATTTTAAACAATATAATAGCCAAACCTTTTCGAAAACAATCTAATATCCAAATCGTCAACTTTACGTTCGTTTGACCGTTAGTTGACACTTCAAAAAAGCTTTGTTTAGGGGAAATTGTCACAATACAACTTTGTTTCTTGTTTTGGCATTGCAGATGACTGAATATTTAGATATTCTATACCATCATGGTGGATTCATGGACTTCTCGGGTTTGGAACTACGATATGTTGGTGGTTTTTCAGAGAAGATATTGATGGATATTGATGAAGTGTCGTACTTCGAACTTTTTTGAAGTGTCAACTAACGGTCAAACAGACAGAAAGTTGACGATTTGGATATTAGATTGTTTTCGAAAAGGTTTGGCTATTATATTGTTTAAAATAAAAGGTTTGGGTATTAAATTGTATTTACCCTAAATTTAACAATCCTATGAATCATCAAAATCAAACTCCTATAATATATATCGATTCGCTTATAAATCAGTGATCAAGTTGACTCTCGAGTCACAATATTGAGATATCTTATGAGCTCTAAACGAATCAGCTCACGAGTTGAGATTATAAGCCACCAAATTGAGTAAGTTTGTGAGCTTAACAAGCTGAACAAAAATTAGGTCAAGCCCAAGTAAGTTCGAGTTTTTCCCGCCTCTCGTGCTCATTTGCACAAAGTATCCGTGCTGGGCCTAAACTAAGCAGACGGACAATTCTAGCCCATTACACAGAGAGAAGTATCCCAGCCCGAGAAACTTGCTAGGGTTTTAGGAGTCGCATTTATATTTTTATCTCCAACGCCGCACCATTCCCTTTCTTGCTTCTTCACTGCGAGTGCTAGAGTTGCCGTCTCTCGCCTCTCTTTACTGGTAATGTCCTCCCTCCATCCCGTGTATTCATTTCTTGGTCGCTTCTTTCGTTTGTTTAAGCTTGACGACTTGTGATTATTGATACTCAGCCTGTTCAATTGCTGGGAAATTTTAGATCTATCTTCAAGCTCCGTTTTTATTGTATCGTGACGATCATTTTGTTCGCAGGTAGGGTTTTGTCTTTTGTTCCGCTTGAAACCTTTCAACCATGAGGTACGCTTACGCTTGATATGGCTCCTGTTCCCACTCATCCTGTCGCGATTCCTAATATAGTGTTGTAAATAAGCTGTTTGCATGGGTTTGGTATCTGATTTATTGCTTGCTGCTTTAGTTCTGTGGATGTGGGTTTGGGGAATGAATCCGGTTGCTGCTTTGAGCTTATATTGGACCTGGGTTGGTTTGATGATCGAATGTTTGATATTTATGCCTGTTTATTTTGCACTTCAGTAAGCTTCAGAGTGAGGCTCTGAGAGAAGCCATTAGTACCATTAAGACTAAAGCTGAAGAGAAGCCACGCAAGTTTACGGAGACTGTTGAGCTCCAGATTGGTTTGAAAAACTATGACCCCCAAAAGGACAAGCGTTTCAGTGGATCTGTTAAGTTGCCACACATTCCTCGTCCTAAGATGAAGGTCTGCATGCTTGGAGATGCCCAGCATGTCGAAGAGGTAATTATGATTTCTCCTTGATGTTTCTCTAGCGTTGGAGTGGGATTGTTCCTCTTTGGTCGAGATTTGAAACAGAATGCATTGATATTTCATGTTTTATCTACTAGTACCACCACTTAGTGATAATTGCGTAGTCCTTTGTTTTCATGGTGCGAGTTGTGAACCTATGTTATATTTCATACTATCACTTGCAATTGAGATCCAAATCCTATTTCATCAGGCAAATAAATTGAATCTGGAGTCCATGGATGTTGAGAGCTTGAAGAAGCTGAACAAAAACAAGAAGTTGGTTAAGAAGCTGGCCAAGTCCTACCATGCATTTTTGGCCTCTGAGTCTGTCATTAAGCAGATCCCCCGTCTTCTGGGCCCTGGTCTCAACAAGGCAGGCAAGTTGTTTCAATAAAGATTGTCAATGCATTTATGCCATTGTCTTATTGTTGTCCTGGTGCCTAAACATTTCTGAACATGATTGCTTCCCTAATGTCAGGAAAGTTCCCTACTCTTGTGAGTCACCAAGAGTCACTGGAGGCTAAGGTGAATGAGATCAAGGCAACTGTCAAGTTTCAGTTGAAGAAGGTTCTGTGCATGGGTGTTGCAGTTGGAAACCTCGGCATGGATGAGAAGCAGATCTTTCAGAATGTTCAGATGAGTGTCAATTTCTTGGTCTCCCTCCTCAAGAAAAACTGGCAGAATGTGAGTCGAAAATTGTGATCTATTGGTTACTTTTGTTTTTGGAAGGCTTTTTTTTTTATTCTTCCATCTGACGTGAGTTTTTGGTTTGGGAATGTTCAGGTTAAGGTCCTAAACTTGAAGACTACCATGGGAAAGCCAGTAAGGATCTTCTAAAGTGGGGTGGCTTACCTGAGGTCTTGTTTTGGAGTACTTTTGTAAGGTTGAAGTTTTAGCTTGTGACGCTGTGTTTCTTATCTTCTGAGGGATTGCCAGATACTATTACTGTTAATTCAGAAAATTTTGTTGGTTTGACCTTTTATCCTGTTAAGAACCATGTTAGATTTTGTTGCATAGTGGAGTTTGATTTTGTGGTGTTTGGTTTATGTTTTTCATTTGAACCCGAGTGCATTCCTTTGATATCTGGTCTGGTGGTTGGGGCCGGTGAGGCGTTTTGGTTTGGCCAATTAAACCAACTATTCGACCAAGTCAATTGAATCTATCATTCATCGAACACTAACATGAAAGTCAGATTGAATGTTTTGTTGATTCAGCTTTGGTTCCTATATGCTTATTTTCGAACTGGTTTCTTAATTGATTGTGGTGCTGGTAAGTTGTTTTTTAGTAGTCGATTTACTCGGATGATTTACTCACTTGGCTAATCTCTAATGTATCCCACAAGATGAATATATTATTTGATATGAAGTCACTTATCATTGCATTACTCGAGAATAACTGTGTTTATTTTCAATATTATTATAAGAAATCTTTCGCTTTGCCTAAGATGACACATTTTGTTAGGTTTTTGTTGATGTGAAATTTACGCGAAGTGTAGACTGTAGAGAACATGTCAATTTCAATTCTTAAAAAAAAATCTAATTCATTCCACTAAAACCTATCCGTTAACACTCGAACCAAGCGTATTTATCTGGCTTTCCCTCAGTTGAAGAACACTGCAAATCTCAAGCATATGTATTTGCTAAAATATCATTGTTTATTTAGGTATATTTTTTTTTGGTGAAAGAGGGTGCAAAGCACCACTACCTCTTACTCATTATGGGAAAGAACGGTGAAACCACCAACATTGTCAAACATACACAAACGAGCAATATCCGAATCGGAAGGACAAATAACATGGGAACCGATAGGAAGACTATGGCCTCGATGGGAATGACTATCAACTAGGAAGTTTGCCTCTCTGTAGATATGTGTGATGCGGATTTCCCAGTCTCTCTGCTACAGTTCCCGGAACGCAAGAACGAGGCTTGCGTGTTGGTGGTTTGACGATGAAGTGGTGGAGAGGAGGTGGACCGCAGCTGTCGAATCCATCTGGAGTTCCACCTTCTTATAGCTAGTCTCCCACACCAGTTGCATTCCCTTAAGAGCGCCCCATAGCTCTGCGCGAGTGATCGTGCATTTTCTCAGGTTCATTGCATAGGCCCCTAACAAGCGACCCTGCCAGTCTCGAAGCGTCCCCCCTGCAGCGGTAGACCCTGATGGTCGGATGAGAGAACCATCAGAGTTCACTGTGAGCCGGTCTGTCGGGGCCGGTCTCCACCCAACAGCCACGTCTCGACGCGACCCCGACCTCCCCAGTGATATAACGTGGTCCGCTGCTTGACTCTGTCGCGCAATGACCTCCCAGGCTAGGATCTTTTGCGTCAACTTGTTAGGAGCTTCCGCAATGTCTGAAAAAATGAAATCATTCCGCGAACGCCATAAGAACCAATAAACAAACCCAAATCGAATCTGGTTCTCGGGGCTAGCGAGGTAAGACATAAACCAGTCCTTGAAAGGACGAGTGTCGTGCGGGTGTGCTGCTTGAGGCAGAGCGAGCTTCCACACCTGGTTGGCAAATGGGCACAACCTGAAGACATGTTCCGCATCCTCCGTAGCGGCCTTGCAACGCACGCAAGTGCTAGTGGCCGTCAGATGACGTCGCCGCCGCTCCTCATTGGTAAGGAGTGCTCCATGTGCCGCGATCCACAGGAAATGTCGGACTCGACTAGGGCCAGGCCACCGCCAAATTTTCCGCCAGCTCGTGTGCCCGTCTTCCCCATCGATGTCCGCTGCAAGCTGGTATGCCGATTTCAAACTGAAGCCACCATTCGGCTCCAGTCCCCAAACAAAAGTGTCCTCCCCTAGATCCTCCCTCAGTTGTGGCAATTCAACAACCTGCAAAAGGGAATCCGCAGGTAAGAATTGGGCAATAAGAGGAACATTCCACTCACCCTCGGCAGTCACCATATCCGCAACCATCGCATCCGCCGGGAACCCCTCCTTCTCCGTCCAAGCATGTTCACTCAAAGGGCTACCCGCATCCGTCCAGGCGTCCGTCTAGAAATTCGTCGTTCGCCCATCACGGATGCTCCAACGGATGCCCGATAGAGTCAGTCCCCAGATACGTCGCAGTCCCCTCCATAGCAAGGAGCCGCCCGATTGACGTCGCACCTGCACACCCGAAGGTCCAGCTTTGAGATACTTTTCTTTTAAAACCTGCTAGCTTCATGTGGTATGCTGCATTGAGCTCTTGAGCCGAACGGAGCCCCAGGCCGCCTTGGTCTTTTGGGAGGCAGATCGTCTCCCGGTTAATAAGGTGGATACGCCGTCTCCCTTGTTGAGAGCCCCAAATGAATGCCCGGATCTTTTGGTCAATCTGTTCACATATTCTTGCAGGGAGAACAGCAGTTTGCATTGCATAGGAGGGAATCACATTCAACATTGACACGGCCAGTGTAACGCGTCCCGCTAGCGAGAGGTTATCCGCTTTCCATCCTGCTAGGCGCTGATCAATACGGTCGAGAATGTACCGATACGTATCCTTCATAGTGCGACCATGTAAGACTGGGACTCCAAGGTAGCGACCCAAGTCTTGTGTCATTGGGATATTCAGTCTCTCGCTGATCATCTTACAGGTGTCCGCTTCATATGCCGTGAGAAGAAAATTCTCGACTTTTCCGTGCTGACCTGCTCTCCTGACGCATTGCAAAACTTTTGTAAGTAACTCAGACCATAGATGATAGACCATACCTTGAGTCTGGGATCTGTTGCTGAAGTGAATGACTTGTGCTACTAGATTGAGAGGCCAGGTAGCAATGATAGTGTTTGGTCAAGTGAGCTGGGGGTTTAACTGGTCTAGTTGATTTGCGTAAGGGAACTGGAGGAGGTTCTAGGACAGGAGTGGAAGATGGTGATGGAGGAGAGGAAGGAGAAGGTGATGTAGGAGTGGTAGAAGAGCTGTCAGGAGAGGAAGAGAAGGAGGATCAAGTGTGGTTTGAAGGTCAGGTGGTGGATAGGGTGAGTCCATAGGAGGATCAGGAGGGTTGGCTGGTGGTGGATCATCATGGAGGGTGGAAGTAGGATTAGGAACAGGAAAGAAAAACTCAGAATCAGGATTTGATGATGAATGAGATGGTTGTGATTTGAATGGAAAATGAGACTCATAGAAGGTGACATCTCTGGAAATAAAGATGTCATGGGATTCAAGATCATAAATTTTGTATCCCTTAATTCCTGGAGGATAACCAAGGAAAACCCCTTTCCTAGCTCTAGGATCAAATTTGGACCTGTGATTAGCTAGAGTGGATGCATAGCATAAGCAACCAAAGACCTTCGGGTCTGTCAGATCAGGTGGAGAATCATAGAGTTTAGAATAGGGAGTTTGATTTTGAAGGACAGAAGAAGGGACACGATTGATTAGGTGTACTGCATGTTTGATGCAGTCACTCCAAAACTCAGCTGGCAGGTCAGCCTGGAATTTTAGGGCTCTAGTCACAACAAGAATATGCTGATGTTTCCTTTCAACTCTACTATTTTGTTGAGGTGTCTCAACACAAGACATCTCATGAATGATGCCTTGAGAATCATAGTAGTCATCCATTTGGAACTCTTTACCTTGGTCACTTCTGATTCTTTTGATGGTAGTGTGAAATTGTCTTTGCATTTGATTACAGAAAGCTATTAATTTAGGTCCAGCTTCTGATTTTAGATGCAATAGAACAACCCAAGTCATTCTGGAAAAACCATCTACAATTGTAAGAAAGTATTTGTAAGCATCATAGGAAGGAACAGGGTTGGGACACCAAATGTCAACATGAAGGAGATCAAAAGGTGAAAGGGTTACATTCTGACTCAAAGGAAAGGGAAGTCTTATTTGCTTTGCAAAGTGACAAACATCACAGGGTAAACCCTTCTGAGTTTCAATGGAGGTACAAAATTGATGAAGATAAGGGATTTTAGAGTGAGACAGATGTCTTAGCCTAAAATGCCACAGATCAAACATGTTTGAAGTTGCAGCTGTGATGATTTTGGGATTACTATAGGCTTCTAGGTAGTAAAGACCATTGTTCAATCTAGCAGAACCAGTCACTCTCTTATGCTCCAGATCCTGTATGACACAAAGGTTAGAATGAAATGTCAAACTTAGTTGATTCTGAGCTGTCAATTTGCTCAATGAGACAAGATTGATACTGAAACCAGGAACAAATAGAGCATCTTGAAGAAGCAATTGATCATTGCATAGGACAGAGCCTGTATGTGTTGCTTGGATTTGCTGACCAGTTCGTAATGTAATGTAGACACTAGATAATGTCTTTGGATTCAATAAATGTTCTTTGGAGGATATTATGTGGTCAGAAGCACCAGTGTCTAATGTCCAAATGAGGTGAGGTCTGTGATTGGAATGCTGAGAGGGAGCAGTTAAAAAGCATGTACATGTAGTATCTGAAGAAGTAGTGAAAGCAGCAGCTGTGTGGGGTGAGTGAGATTTCATATTACCCATGAGAGCCATGAGTTTGTCATAATCAGATCGAGTCAGTTTGACTTCATCCTCTTGAGTTGTAGATGCTGAGTGTGCATAACCTCTACCTCTGCAATATGATGTAGTTGATGTTCTAGGAACATAATTAGCAGGGAAGCCATGTTTCTTGAAACATTTGTCTTCTGTATGGCCATGCTTCCTGCAGAATGTACATTCTATGACTGAGGTAGATGTTGTTGGAGGAGATCTGGTATTCATGCCAGGTGGGAAACCATGTTTGAGAAAACAAACATCCTCAGTATGTCCTTTTCTCTTGCATACGACACAATAAGGCCTCTTTTGAGTGGTAGAAGTCCTTCTGTTGGCATCTTGGATTGCTAGAGCAGGGGAGCCAGTGGTGAGGGAGGCAATCAGCTTGCCACACTGAGTACCATAAAGCTGCCTTTCATGCTGCAACATACGTTGAAAAACCCTATTGATGTTGGGAAGTTCATCACCAAAGAGAACCTGGGATCTAACTGCTGAAAAGTTCTCATTTAAACCTCAAAGGAACTTAATGACATAACTGGTTTCTTGGTATTCAAGAACCAATTTCATAGCTCGACAGGTAGTGTGACTGGTTGGAGTGCAGTCACAGGGAAGTAAAGGTTGGTAATTTTCTAGCTCATCTTGTAGAGTAATGACTTTGCCATAGTACTCAGTAATTGATTGTGTACCTTGCTTCTATGTGCTGAGTTCTTCTTCAATTTCAGCTACTCAAACAATGTCACCAGAACCATACCTTGTTTGGAGGCTTTTCCAAGCTTCAGCAGCAGTTTTGCTGGAAAGGATAGTCTTTCTGATTTCATATTCAACCGATTGTTGTATCCAACTTAGGATCATGATGTTGTTCCTGACCCATGCTCCTCTTTTGGGATCTGTTTCTGCAGGTTCAGGAATAGCACCATTCAGGAAGCCCAGCTTGTTCTTTGCTGCGAGGGCATTGAACATTGCGTGGCTCCAGTCGTTGTAGTTGATTGCA